TGTTTTGACATTTGTATTGAAAATCCTGACCTTGGTGTTGGTTGACAATTGTTTTGAGTTCCAGATGTTTTTTGGTTGTAAGTATGCTGCTCTTGTCTTGCCGATCCGTGCCTTCACATCTACATCAGATCCACCGTATTCATCAATGATGCTACCCAGATATGTAAAGCATTTTACATCTTTCAAAGCTTCTCTATCAAGTGTGATTGAATTGGTGCATGTTGTGTTGAATCGGAGAATCTTGCTTTTCCCTATGTGTGTGTTGAGACCTACTGCTGCTGATGCTGCTGCTACACTGGTTGTTGCGTTTGCGACAGAAGAGCCAGATCATCTGCGAAGTCTAGATCGTCCAGCTGCATCCTAGATGTCCACTGTATTCCGTAGTTCCCTTCAGATGTTGACGTTTTCATGATCCAGTCGATCACCAGGAGAAAGAGAAAGAGTGGGAGTAAGCAACCTTGCCTGACACCGGTCTTTACTTCGAAGGAGTTTTTCAACTGTCCTCCATGAACGATTTTGCAGTTTAATCCATCGTAGGAATTCCGTATGATATCGACTATCTTCTGAGGCACGCCGTAGTGTTGAAGAAGCTTCCATAGTGTTCTGTCCACGCCGTCAAATGCTTTTTCATAGTCAATGAAGTTGATATAGAGTGATGAATTCCATTCAATTGATTGTTCCACAATGATCCGTAGAGTTGCGATTTGGTCTGTACACGATCTATCTTTACGGAATCCTGCCTGTTGGTCTCGATGTTGGGAGTCTACGGAGTCCTTCATCCTGATCATTAGTTAACCATATTTAAGAATGTGCCATCTATAATGATTTAGTCATTTACAATGGGATTTAAAGTTACCTGAAACTCTTTACGTTTTTTTTCTGAGCAATGTAATCCATATAGAACTTTATTATTAAAATATTCATCTTTGTACAAGTCGAATTTGGGAACCATCTTCGGCTACTTAGAAATATAACAATGTAAACAAATCATCTGTTAGAGCTACATCAAAACCTTTCGTTAGTTACTGGTGTGATGAAGAATAACCTTTTAAATACTGTATCTTTAATCAATACTAAAGATAATTCACTTTAGTTAGTGACTATTTTGTCTTCAGAAGTAAAACAGAATTGTCGTCAAATTACTCTCTGACGTTTGTATCATAAACGTTATCAGAATAAGCATTAATAAAATATCTTTTAGGATTGTCTAAAATAAGTGTCATTAGTTGGAGGTACAATCACTTCATCTATTCTCCATATGATGAAATAATCTATTATGTAACAACGATGTAATCTAACCATTCTAACTAAATGTGATAAACGAGGTTAGATGTTGTGTTGACGTCAACGTACGTAGGACTGACGTCTTGATAGATTCGCGAACTAAACACGGTTAAATTGAACGCGACAGGTAGTGATGAAATCGGTGATCATTGATCACATAAGTGCTATTTTTATCGCTTATAGGTTGATGAACATCATTGGATTTCTCATGGTTTACATCATGGACTGATTTTAGTCAGCCTATCACTGAGAATGTTTAAGGGATACAGCAAACTGATTGAAGTTAGACATTAACATCATTGGACGATGACTCCATGATATAGAAGTTAAGATCTTGTCAAGAAATCAATGATTTTGGGTTCAGTATCCATTGTCATCTTGGGTCCACTTATTAAAGAGTTTCATACTAGGATGAAACAAATACCTGGGAAATTTCGGACTACACTGTAACCATAACTAAGATTAGTTAATGATGTGAACTATATAAATCTCCAAAAACCTTTCTGTACTACTAAAATAATTTTTTCCCAACATTTAGCAACTACATAGTAAAATTAATATGTCAATCTTTTCGCGAAGTTTCAACACCTACTTATTTAATTTTTAGTATCAATATATAAAAGCATGGATGCCTGTAAAAGTGTGATGCTCTGGAGAAAGTACGAAATAATGTAGGCGTTATTCTCAAATTAGTCAGTTTATTTCTAATGCAACTGCCTTCATAGTGTATTGTTCCCATGACTTCAGTGCTCTGTTAAACCAATATGATAATTACGAGGTAGCAGAAAAAAACCCAGGATAGTATTTGGTCCAGTCTCAAAATATATATGAATACAAAGGTTCTCGGTTAACACAAACTATGCAATTCGTAATCATCTCAGTACCTAATGTTTCATTAGTTTATTAGTTTGAGTGTAAAAAAGAAGACTTTGATCTAATTGAACAATATGTGGCTACTCATATAATAAACAATTGTATAGGAACTGATTTTATTCTTGCAAATCGTGAAGTGATCATTCACTTTTTTAAAACCTCAGTATTATACTTATCAACTAAGAAGTATGGAAATAAACAGTGGTTATTGCAAGCTATGAGATCTGTTTACACACATATTGAATTGTGCTCTTGGAGTGATCGTTTTGTTTTTAAACAAATATGTTTGTCTCTAGTGTAGCCATATTAAAATAACCACCGGAAGTTCCTATGTTTATGACTCCGATTAAGTGAATAATTTATTGATTAACGTCGTCTTACTGCCTTGGATTATTTCAAAGTTTTACGTTTTCTTTCCTAATGGTCGAAAACTGATCCAAATCTTTATTCGAACAGACATGAATATTGTTCAATCTCTATAATGTTATTTATTTTGTGTTTATTTGATAAAATATTTACTAAAGATAATATTATACATCTAATGTAAGTCTCAATGTGAAGGTTATTACAGGATATTTAGGTTATCTTGAAGTAAATTGGAACACCTGTAGTGCCCCATTGCGTTATGATAAAATGTTAGCAACAATTAATTTACGCAGCTGCTAACACTGGTTCGTACCCCAACAAGGCACGATAATATATACCATCTGCTTGCATGGTTTACTATTTTCCTTACTATTTTAGCCCAGTGGTGCTCAAAATAGTTGTCGGAGATTAACACGTCAAAATATGGGTGGATATGTTTTGGCAGTACTTAACTCAATCTAAATATTACCGTAAATAGTAAGGTATTATCGAAGTTATATATAGTAGTGGACTAGAACCCAAGTATTCCTACGATTTATCATTCGCAAAACAGCTATCGAAGCAGGTATCCAAGTTTAAATAAATTTTAAGTTGAATAATTCGTAACCTCTGCAACAATTAGCCACATATTTTTTATGTACAAAGTATATGTTCGACCACTCCTAAAATCCTGCTCCTTTATTCTTAGAGGTGTTCTCATACAAGATAAATGAAAGCGCGAATCCATTCACAGATGATTTATATTGATCATTCAAGAGGTCGACTGTAGCTTAAATTATAAGTTCAGATGTATTAGAATTGAATTTGACACTTTATGAAACAGGAGATTCAAACTAAATCTGATCTTCTTTTTCAACTTACTTGATAGACTATCGTTTACATCCAGTGAAACAATCCAATATGCAGAAACTCTTAGGTACAGCATCTACAACTCTTTGTCATTGATGAAATACTCTCATTCTAAATCTCCTCTTCTAAAAATTAATTGATCAGCACATTTTCCACACTCTGGAATAACCCACCACAATCTGTCTATAAAATAAAATCACTCCCATTCTTTGTTTATAGCATCAATGCTTACTTCCCTTACTGTAATCGCTTTAAATGTTTTTACATCTCTAAGTATATCCCATTTCACAAGTGAGATTTTAGAAAGTTTACATGTTTAATCTTTTTTATTATTGAGACCACCAACTAAATTTCCCTACCTACTAATACTTTATATTGACACTGTCTATGGTAACCTTAACTGATTTTGAATAATGTCTAACATGAACGGTAAATCATTGAATCACCTGACACATGTATTATGGAAGATCTGACTGACATATTTTAGTAATTATTGCTTTGTTATTCAGTGCTCTGTGTTTCCGTTTTATTTTCGCTAGTTGTAGATGATTCTAATTAATTCGTTATGGAGCAAGAAGTAACCTTAAATACACCATTCATACATTGCTAGGACGTCCACATAAAAAGAACTGAAATTTCCCTTCTGAGGTTTTCATTTCTACAAAACGTGCGAAAACATAGTACCTAAACAATTTTTGAACTAAAACACGTTCAACAATCCAATATTTCGAATGTCCTCTACATTTATTATTACTATCTATATCAAGTTGGTCATTCTTATAAACTTGCATAAATACTATACTTATTAATCTTAGAACATATTACTATTATTATATCATTTATTCGTTATCGCATGCATTGTTTAAAGTTGACTGAAGCTTATACTGATGCACTACACTCAATAGAATCATGCAACAGAATTTATTTCAACTGAGCATGTAACATTCAAAATATTTTTTTGTATCTTTGCAATAACGACTAACATTCAAGCTTCAATTATAATATAAGCAAATTCAAACAATACAAAACAAATGGATTGAAGCAGTATGAAGCTAATTATCATCACTTCCGAAATTCATGTACACTTTAGACGTTATAGTTAATAATTCTTCATTACATAGAACTGATTAGCTAATTATTTTTTTCGGTTGTATGGTTAATTGTCTTTTGATTCATACAATACTAATTTATGAATGTCGTTCCATTGTTTGTTTTTTCGAATAAATATAACTGTTTACTTGACTACTTCATTCACTTGGTATCTTATATTGAATACTGAAATCGGATTTATATTTATTAAATGTTATCAAAGAGGGGTCCTGTGGATATTATAGCAATTTCAATAGTTAAATTCATGAGTCAATTAAAGCTAGACCACCATGGGAAACTTAAACTCATTTAACGGCCAGTTCGTCCTAGGTTGGTACTCCTCAGAAGTGTACATTCACTATCCTGCTCACGGGATTCGAACCCAGGACCTACATGTTTCACGCGCGAACGCTTAACTTTTAGACCACTAAACCGACATCCAGCGGTGTTCGCGCGCGAAACCGATGGATTCTGTGTTCAAATCTCACGGAGCTGGATCATAGTTCCACACTGTTGAGAAGTTTCATACTAAAACTAAACGACCGTCCAGTATTTCCAGATTTTCGATGGAGGTTTAGCTTCAATTATCTCATAAATTCAACTATTAAATAAATATTATCAATTGATTTTTAAGGAAAAATATTGTTACTACAATGACTATTTCATTTTACCGACAAAAAACACACCATTTAAAAAAATTAAATTAAACAGATACAATGAAAAATTGTTACTATGAAGGATTCGAAAATGAAAACAGGTGAAAATGTTCATTATTACAATTTGTAAATACGAAAACCGGTAAAATAATAATTTTTTTTAAAAAAAAAGCCAAATTAAAAAAATATATCCATGTCTGTGCGAAAATAAACTATGACATCACTTAACTATTGCATAGATTCTTATAATTCGGTTGGATTTCATCACTTACATAACCTAATACTTTTAAAAGTGAACTATTTGTAGTCATCAATTTAAAAAATTCAGTAAGAATAGGTGAATCATTACGTGACCATGCATCCAAAGAATTATTATGGATTGATTTTACTATTTGAATTGAGCTTGCTTCATATCTAATCAAAATTAAAAAAAAGAAAGAAAGTAATAAAAAAAAATCAGAAAGTTTCTCATCTATTATATTGTTATCCGTGGGATACCCCATCTGTTTACATACATTTAGACTGTTTCATTCCTTTAAATACATTCGAAAATCGCATAACTAAATTATAAGGGGAGATGGTGTTGTCTTACTTTTATAACAAATTTGTTTAATAACTAAAGAGAATGAAAGTATTTACATTTTAAATATCAGAAAACTACATTTTAAACTAATTTTAGCTTTAAGATGTGTATAAACAATAAGATAGTATGTTATCAAACAGTTTGTTATCCATATACATATTGTATTTATATTTCCAAACTATAATAAACAATGAAGTTGATATTGAATCTAAAATTCCAGGCGGCCTGTTCAAATATCTGAACTACCTATTCCTGTCATCTGGCTATTTCAACAAGTTATCTATTTTCTTGTTTGTTTTAACACATCATTATACTCATTAGTCGCATAACCTATTCAGGAACATTTGTAACATGTTTATGACATTTTGCTCTCCAAGTTACAAAAGAGCCCAATCAGAGACATCATGGTTCTCGGCAACTGAAACATCCTCCAGCGGCCTACTTGAATATCTGGTCTACCTTTTTCTGTCATCCGGATATTTCAACAAATTATCTGTTTTCTTGTTTGTTTTAACATATCATAATGCCTATTAATCTCATAACTTATTCAGGTGCGTTTGTGAAAAGTTTACGACATTTCGCTGTACAAGTTACAAAAGAGCTCAATCAGAGTCATCATGGTTACTGGCAATATTCATCGAAAAGAAGATGCATCAATCCGATGTCGATTCCTGAACAGCAAATATCTAACTGTCGACCACTCAATAATTATCGTCAGGATCGACCAAGAAATAAGAGAAGGAAACTTGTTGAAATCCTTTGTGCTAAGAATTCTATATTGCACTAAAACTATAATATTGAATAAAGCCAATAATAATATACTTATATATATAGTATGCAGCTTTCTATTTAACGTATATAGTACATAAGTATTTAATAAAACATTAGTTTACTTGTTTAATTTCGATGTATTATAAACAAACTTTTCATGTTCCAATAACTTATCATCCCATGGTAATTCAAGAAAATCTAAAAATTATAAAATGAAACATGGTATAATTATTCGAATATCTCACATGTATATATAGATGATATAAAGATATTATGTAATAGAATATTTAATCTTATAATGGAACTGAAAACAAAACTAGAAAAATCTATTTATAATCATATTAAGATTCAACCTTAGTAATTATCACTTTGAATGGATATTTGAGCTCCAAGAATCACTAACATAATTAATCGGGTAAGATATTTAAACTGATTGAAGAATTTGGTAATAATCAATAAACATCCTTGTCTAGTTCTTAATACTGAGTGAAATCTATTGACCAAGCAGCAATATGATTACTTTATTAAGAGATTCAATAGTTTGTTATTTTACATTAGTTAGTTAGTTAGTTAGTTAGTTGTACGAAGTATTTGACATAAATCATGTTAAACATGGTAATCAAATTTTCTTTTTTCGATAGGTAATCGATATCAAAATTGTTCAGGAACAAAATGTACTTTCTTTTTAATTCTATATAGATGATCTTAAAATTCCCTATCCATGGAGAATATTCAGCAATGACTTTATTTATTAACTGAAAATGTTACCAGTCCAACAAAAGAAATGTTTATTTCCCTTTGCCTATATCATACATTAAAACTTGATAATTTTCTAAATAAAAAATTCGAAATAAATAAATATCTGTATAAGGTTGTGAATATTGTTAAGTTGAAATTGAGATCATGAATGGATCAATAATAGATCACCATTGAAAAGATTAGAAGCACTCAACAACTGTTTCGTCCTAGTAGTGCGCATCCATGATCCTGAACAGGGGACTGAAACACAGAACCTTCAGTCTCGCGCGCTCGAACGCATAACAAGATTTTCAATAGTGATCCATTCATTATCTCAGTCAGAAATAAATATTCTACGTTTAATATTTTGCACATTCACAATCTATTAACCTGATAATAAGTGGATAAAAACAAATACCGATTTAGGTACATTAATAAGTGAACAAAGAAAGAAATCTTTTACTAATCTAAATATTTAAGAAACTAATCCTATAAGCCTTTTCCGAGAATTCCCGAACATTCGACGTTCTGCGAGGCAAATGTTTCCGAAGATCTTGGTTTGGCCAAGAAATTTATTGAAAGATGTGTTAAATAAAATCGCAAACTATTCTTATGGCGAGTAGTTGATTGATATTTTTTGTTTCATTGAACCAAAAAATTAAGAAAATTCAACAAAGAAAACTTTCTTTTCGTTGAAATCACTTATTTAAGCTGTACATTCGTATTTATAGTTGTTTGGTATGGTATGGCTCATGGAAAATTGTTTAAGGGTAATAGTAAGTGAGGTATTAATAATCCACGTACTCAAACTCAAAGTCAGCCTGAATAGATGATACGTCCAACTTCACATCCTTCCTTGACCTTAATTCCCTTTTGTAGTGTGTTCTGATTTATTATTATTATTTGAGTTGCTTTTTTGAAATATATTTTGTAATTTTAAACCGTAATCAGTTATCAAGAGAACTAGATCCAAGGGAGATAAAATCAAAAGCTTATGCACTGCTGAGACGTTAGAGCTCTACCATTTCAAACCCGAACTTTGCATGCTAAGACGATAAGTCCAATCCTCCATTATTCCTTTGCCTTAATTCCTTTCTGTAGTATTTTTCAAAAAAATAGTATTCGGTAATTTTAGACCGTAAGCTGTTATTATTACTCTTCAACAATTTTCCAAGTTTATTATTCAGTTTTCATTATTATGATCCTTATGTTGCCCTCCTTATATTCTTCTTTAACCCTGTGATTATTACATAACCTCATTCGATAACTAGAGTATCGAATCTCTTTATGATGCAATCGTTTCTATCCTTCTGTAGACATATATTTATTATACAACTATAAATACGGATGTACAGCTTCAGCAAATGATTCCGTCGTACAGAAAATTTTCTTCACTCAATTCTCTTTATTTTATAAGAAATAAATAAGCCTTGGCCCAGGTATACAAGGGTCAATGATGACTGAGCTGAATTTATTGTTTAGTTTGCATGCATGGATGATTCACATTGATGTCAACAATGTATAGATTTATGCAGAAGCTGTAATAATTTCTTACAAGAGAATAGCTTTATTTCTTAGCCTTATGTTATCACTATCATATTCTATTATTCAGTCAAATATAAGTGAAGTTCTAACAGTTTTTAGTACAGAAGGAATGATGGCTAATATTCTCTTCCTTAAATATGATTCATAAATGAACGTTTTAATAATTGAATGAAATGATTGTGGTAGAAACGTAGTTAACAACAAATAACACTAGTTTCTTTGAAGTTGCTGTTGTAATTGTTTCACATCTTATACTCCTCAGAACATTCTACTTCTACATTATTAGTTTAATGATCGAAATCTAACCTTCTATTATAGTTTTCTTATATTATATAGTATGCCTAAAATATTTGGTTCATGAAAAGTTATCACATTAAAGCTGTGATTTCGATTAATTATGTATTATTATGAAGTAGTTTAAGAAAATAAATTATTAAGCACTAGTAAGACGATTTCTAGGAAATTTTTGATAAAATGTCTCTCAGTAAGCAGATTTTATAAAGATTGTAATAATCTGAGCTAGACCATCATTGAACACCTGATAGCACCGTAGGCACGTCCCATCCTAGTAGGAAACTACACAGCAATATACATCCACGATCCCTCAGGCAAGACTTCAACTGAGGACCCAGGATCGAATGGAGTTGGACAGTAACACCGTCAGATGTCGGCTCAATGGTCTAGAGGTTAAGCATTCACGCACGAGATCGAATGTCCTGAGTTTGAGTCCCACGTGAGGGATCGTGACTTCTCATTGCTGAGTAGCCTCATATTAGGACGAAACGGCCCTCTAGTGCTTCCAGGTTTTCAATGGTGTTCTAGCTCAGATCAACACGCAAATTCAACTGTCGAAAATAATTTTCATCAGAATGATAAAAATTTCATATGCAATCACAACCAAATGCTTCCTATGAAATTCAACTAATCAGATCTCACAAAACTGTTCCAAATGTTAATCACATCGATGAGACTATAATTTATGGACAACTTTTCATCGACGCTAAACTGACCATTAGAGTGTCCACCTAATAACTAGGATGAAACGAGGGTTATAAACCTGTGTGAGAAATAAGAATTATGATTTCCAGTTGATGGTTAAGGTTACGAGTTAGATTTAAGGTTTTCATCACAAACTGACATTAGCTATAAGGCCAAAACTCTATTTAGCCGAATGGATGAATGAATTTCCCGCCAATATCCTAGACCTGTTATCTTATATTTGATTGGTTCGTCCATAAATTACAGTTGCGCCATCATATCTCTTATAAAAGTTTACATACAGAAATATATTAGCTACTGATTACATTTGGATAGAAGTAATTACGAAAATGTATAAACTTTTTTTACGACAGAACAAGAATTCCAATCTTCCACTAATAAACAGATATCCCAATAATCTTTAGGAATATTTCTATAATTTTGTACAATAAACTAATGATTATTTAAATAATTGGAATATATTAACCTACCAAGAACTTTTTTAATCTCTTCACGTGGATTTAATATAAGACATTCATAACGGATAGATAAACAACGATATATTCCAATGTATTGACAATCTTCCAACATTTGTGATGTTGTTCTCTCCCAATTTAAAATTGCTGTAGTGATATTTTCTAATGTGTAAAATGGATGTATACCACGGCTTCAATATAATATTAAAGGTAAAAAAATATATGAAATAGATCTATTTCAAATACCAAATAAATACAATTTCAATGTATGAGATCATGAGTCAATTGAAGTTAGACCACCATGGGAAACCTGGAAGCACTGGACGGCTGTTTCATCCTATTGTGGGACTCCTCAGCTATGCGAATTCACGATCCCTCACGTGGGACTCAAACCCGGGACATTCAATCTTGTGTGCGAGCGCTTAACCTCTAGACCATTGAGTCGATATCTGACGGTGTTACTGTCCAACTCCATTCGATCCTGGGTCCTCAGTTGAAGTCTTGCCTGAGGGATCGTGGATGTATATTGCTGTGTAGTTTCCTACTAGGATGGGACGTGCCTACGGTGCTATCAGGTGTTCAATGGTGGTCTGGCTCAGATCGACTCGTGAATTTGAACACAGGACCTATCAGCGCTTAACCACTAGACCACTGAGCTAGCTGGGATCCAACGGTGTTAATGTCTAACTTCAACCAATCCACGAATACAGTTTCTATAACAAATGTATATTAACATCAGATAAGGTTGTCAGAAAGAAAAAAACTGGGTTTTATTTTAAGTACAATTTGATACATATTATTAAAGCATCTTATATACTAAACTAATAAATACGTTAAACAAATTACCTGTCAATAGTTCCTTTAAAGGTTTTTTTGGGCGAGACTATAATTTATGGACGAACCAATCAAATATAAGATAACAGGTCTAGGATATTGGCGGGAAATTCATTCATCCATTCGGCTAAATAGAGTTTTGGCCTTATAGCTAATGTCAGTTTGTGATGAAAACCTTAAATCTAACTCGTAACCTTAACCATCAACTGGAAATCATAATTCTTATTTCTCACACAGGTTTATAACCCTCGTTTCATCCTAGTTATTAGGTGGACACTCTAATGGTCAGTTTAGCGTCGATGAAAAGTTGTCCATAAATTAAAGCCTCACCACTTTTGTTTTTTCTTATTCACTTGTTTTTATCACAATCATTTTTATATTTTAGTAGCCCAGGATATGACTCCAGTGAGATCGTTTCCGATTGCTATTGAGATATACATATCGTCAATCCTCGTACATAATTATCGACTGAGTACGTTACTGAATAACGGAATGGATTTTCTAATGCATATATTGTGTACAGTCGTTGATCGGAACAGATAATCAGAGAGACGCAGTGAAGGAACCGAATAATAGAGAGCGCAACGAAGTGCAGTGGAGAAGGCATGTTAGCCAACTCCACTTAGTCAAGCGTTAATTAATATATATAGTTACACAAAAATAAGTTACAGGCATGTGATGAATAGGATAAAAAGTGTACACATACATACGCTCATATAAAAACAGTCAAGGTTGATAAGTGAATAATTAACAAAGTCAAAATGTGACTCAAGTAGAATGAATAGATTGACTTGTGCGAAAGCTAGAATAAGATATATTGGTTTTAACATAATAACCGACATAAATTCAACTATTAAATAAATATTATCAATTGATTTTTAAGGAAAAATATTGTTACTACAATGACTATTTCATTTTACCGACAAAAAACACACCATTTAAAAAAAATTAAATTAAACAGATACAATGAAAAATTGTTACTATGAAGGATTCGAAAATGAAAACAGGTGAAAATGTTCATTATTACAATTTGTAAATACGAAAACCGGTAAAATAATAATTTTTTTTAAAAAAAAAGCCAAATTAAAAAAATATATCCATGTCTGTGCGAAAATAAACTATGACATCACTTAACTATTGCATAGATTCTTATAATTCGGTGGGATTTCATCACTTACATAACCTAATACTTTTAAAAGTGAACTATTTGTAGTCATCAATTTAAAAAATTCAGTAAGAATAGGTGAATCATTACGTGACCATGCATCCAAAGAATTATTATGGATTGATTTTACTATTTGAATTGAGCTTGCTTCATATCTAATCAAAATTAAAAAAAAGAAAGAAAGTAATAAAAAAAAATCAGAAAGTTTCTCATCTATTATATTGTTATCCGTGGGATACCCCATCTGTTTACATACATTTAGACTGTTTCATTCCTTTAAATACATTCGAAAATCGCATAACTAAATTATAAGGGGAGATGGTGTTGTCTTACTTTTATAACAAATTTGTTTAATAACTAAAGAGAATGAAAGTATTTACATTTTAAATATCAGAAAACTACATTTTAAACTAATTTTAGCTTTAAGATGTGTATAAACAATAAGATAGTATGTTATCAAACAGTTTGTTATCCATATACATATTGTATTTATATTTCCAAACTATAATAAACAATGAAGTTGATATTGAATCTAAAATTCCAGGCGGCCTGTTCAAATATCTGAACTACCTATTCCTGTCATCTGGCTATTTCAACAAGTTATCTATTTTCTTGTTTGTTTTAACACATCATTATACTCATTAGTCGCATAACCTATTCAGGAACATTTGTAACATGTTTATGACATTTTGCTCTCCAAGTTACAAAAGAGCCCAATCAGAGACATCATGGTTCTCGGCAACTGAAACATCCTCCAGCGGCCTACTTGAATATCTGGTCTACCTTTTTCTGTCATCCGGATATTTCAACAAATTATCTGTTTTCTTGTTTGTTTTAACATATCATAATGCCTATTAATCTCATAACTTATTCAGGTGCGTTTGTGAAAAGTTTACGACATTTCGCTGTACAAGTTACAAAAGAGCTCAATCAGAGTCATCATGGTTACTGGCAATATTCATCGAAAAGAAGATGCATCAATCCGATGTCGATTCCTGAACAGCAAATATCTAACTGTCGACCACTCAATAATTATCGTCAGGATCGACCAAGAAATAAGAGAAGGAAACTTGTTGAAATCCTTTGTGCTAAGAATTCTATATTGTACTAAAACTATAATATTGAATAAAGCCAATAATAATATACTTATATATATAGTATGCAGCTTTCTATTTAACGTATATAGTACATAAGTATTTAATAAAACATTAGTTTACTTGTTTAATTTCGATGTATTATAAACAAACTTTTCATGTTCCAATAACTTATCATCCCATGGTAATTCAAGAAAATCTAAAAATTATAAAATGAAACATGGTATAATTATTCGAATATCTCACATGTATATATAGATGATATAAAGATATTATGTAATAGAATATTTAATCTTATAATGGAACTGAAAACAAAACTAGAAAAATCTATTTATAATCATATTAAGATTCAACCTTAGTAATTATCACTTTGAATGGATATTTGAGCTCCAAGAATCACTAACATAATTAATCGGGTAAGATATTTAAACTGATTGAAGAATTTGGTAATAATCAATAAACATCCTTGTCTAGTTCTTAATACTGAGTGAAATCTATTGACCAAGCAGCAATATGATTACTTTATTAAGAGATTCAATAGTTTGTTATTTTACATTAGTTAGTTAGTTAGTTAGTTAGTTGTAGGAAGTATTTGACATAAATCATGTTAAATATGGTAATCAAATTTTCTTTTTTCGATAGGTAATCGATATCAAAATTGTTCAGGAACAAAATGTACTTTCTTTTTAATTCTATATATATGATCTTAAAATTCCCTATCCATGGAGAATATTCAGCAATGACTTTATTTATTAACTGAAAATGTTACCAGTCCAACAAAAGAAATGTTTATTTCCCTTTGCCTATATCATACATTAAAACTTGATAATTTTCTAAATAAAAAATTCGAAATAAATAAATATCTGTATAAGGTTGTGAATATTGTTAAGTTGAAATTGAGATCATGAATGGATCAATAATAGACCACCATTGAAAAGATTAGAAGCACTCAACAACTGTTTCGTCCTAGTAGTGCGCATCCATGATCCTGAACAGGGGACTGAAACACAGAACCTTCAGTCTCGCGCGCTCGAACGCATAACAAGATTTTCAATAGTGATCCATTCATTATCTCAGTCAGAAATAAATATTCTACGTTTAATATTTTGCACATTCACAATCTATTAACCTGATAATAAGTGGATAAAAACAAATACCGATTTAGGTACATTAATAAGTGAACAAAGAAAGAAATCTTTTACTAATCTAAATATTTAAGAAACTAATCCTATAAGCCTTTTCCGAGAATTCCCGAACATTCGACGTTCTGCGAGGCAAATGTTTCCGAAGATCTTGGTTTGGCAAAGAAATTTATTGAAAGATGTGTTAAATAAAATCGCAAACTATTCTTATGGCGAGTAGTTGATTGATATTTTTTGTTTCATTGAACCAAAAAATAAAGAAAATTCAACAAAGAAAACTTTCTTTTCGTTGAAATCACTTATTTAAGCTGTACATTCGTATTTATAGTTGTTTGGTATGGTATGGCTCATGGAAAATTGTTTAAGGGTAATAGTAAGTGAGGTATTAATAATCCACGTACTCAAACTCAAAGTCAGCCTGAATAGATGATACGTCCAACTTCACATCCTTCCTTGACCTTAATTCCCTTTTGTAGTGTGTTCTGATTTATTATTATTATTTGAGTTGCTTTTTTGAAATATATTTTGTAGTTTTAAACCGTAATCAGTTATCAAAAGAACTAGATCCAAGGGAGATAAAATCAAAAGCTTATGCACTGCTGAGACGTTAGAGCTCTACCATTTCAAACCCGAATTTTGCATGCTAAGACGATAAGTCCAATCCTCCATTATTCCTTTGCCTTAATTCCTTTCTGTAGTATTTTTCAAAAAAAATAGTATTCGGTAATTTTAGACCGTAAGCTGTTATTATTACTCTTAAACAATTTTCCAAGTTTATTATTCAGTTTTCATTATTATGATCCTTATGTTGCCCTCCTTATATTCTTCTTTAACCCTGTGATTATTACATAACCTCATTCGATAACTAGAGTATCGAATC